ACTTTTTTTTTTAAATTTTTTTACACGCATTAGGACTTTCCCTTGGGGTTTTTTGCCATCGGTCACTCCTGTTATTTCAAGATGTCTCCCAGGTGTTGAGCCCATTACCTCAGTTGTTGGCAGTGAGCTCATCTAATTACCAGATTTATGACGATGTCAAATATAAAAGGGCATATAGACCACTTAAACCAAATCAAAGGCACAAACGCTCTTTAAATATCTATGCCTCCGTCCCTGTCGAACTGGGAGATTTGCCTGCTCACGTTCTCATTTCAAATGAGGGAACTGTTGTAAATTTGTTTCTCTAAATAGAAAATCTACCATACACAGTTTAAAAAAACAAAAGAAAATGTTGTGGGAACACTTGATCTGATTTAGGGTGGGGTATTGATCTCATTTTGTTGTGCCTTTCTTATATTCTCTTTTGATAAAATTCAAGCATGATGTTACTAATGAATGGTAAGCAGTTCGGGCGTATTTCGGTGTTATTTGATAGGTAAACAGCATTATGTTTGTAGCTATACTATCTGGCTTTAAGTACAACTACTACACAGTTCATGGAAATATGTATACTAATGTGTATTAAATTAGCTGCTCCTCCATAGACATTCTTGTACTCCAAATGCTGAAAAACCCCTCAGACTGATAAAGCTGTATGTGTGAAAGTGCTTTGCTAAGTGCAGTAACCTGCTTGGCTAGTGGTACATTTGTCATTAATTTGACTGGTCAGATCCATACATCAAATACCCTTTTTATTATGTTTTTTATCCCCTTTGTATTTTAGTTAAGGGACCAACTTAAATATTTCTGGGACACAGGATTGTAGTTCACTAAAGCTACTGTGCAAACATTTCTATGCATTACACGACCGAGGAGGAGCCAGGAGAACGGACCGTCAGAGAGATTACACATATTACAAATTGATTGTTAAGGAAAAGTTTGAGTTTTGCTTTTCTAATTGTGTTGATTCGTACTTTGTTGATATTCAGAATAATGTGCTTTACATTTTAATACTTGAATAAAAAGTTATGTTTGGGTTTGTGTTGGATATTCAATGTAGGCCCCAAATAAACCAGGTGCATCACAAGAAACTGAATATCAAACTTGTGTCCATTTGGAGTGAGTCGGGGTTGTCGCCTCTAATGGAGATTTGACCTGAGCTGCTCTGTAATATCAAAGATTCTTGAGTCAACATGATGAACTTTGCTAATGCACTGTGTGCCATCTAGTGGATCATGACGGGAGTGAGCACTGCTAGAAAATACCTTACCGTGTACACTGAACTTTATTTAGTAGGATCACTACCTTCACAAATGGGCAATTATATTCATCTATATTTAAGTTTTTGAAGTCTAGTCATGAATGTCAGTGGATCAACTTTCCAGTGAATCAGCTCCCCACATTTCCTGTCTGCCACCCACTGGCAATTAAAGCCACAGATGACCAGTATATAAAAGAATAATTGTAATCGAAATAATTGTTAGGTGTTCTGTGCTACCGCAAATTAGATTTGGGGTGTGTCACATTGGACACAAGCAAAAATGATTATGTAATTTATAAATACTCACAGTGAATTAGACATAGCCACCAATACATCACCATGGTACCTGTTCATATTGACTTTATGAGAACAGCCTATCTGTTATGGCCCAGTACTTGTAGTGTCAATACTTGGCTAGTTGAAAAATTACATTATACCACTTGTTTGTTTGGATGCATTTTAAAAATCAGTCCTTCTCTCACTCAATTTTAGGGTAAGTATTAATTACTGTGTCAAAACATCAAATTTTATATATATATATACACACACACACATACATACATACATATATATACATATACATATATACATATATATACATATATATACATATATACATATATATATA